ATCAAAGTCATTCTCTAACTCAGTTCATTAAAAACAGATGCAGAGATCCTCTGATTAACAAAGAGTGAGTTTTTGATTCATTAGTCTTTCAGATTCTTTATTTGTGCTAATTTGGTTTTTGTCTTTAATTCATTTGAGAGAGCAAGACAGAGACAGAGAGAGTGAGAGTGCCCTGGAGCTCCCACCCACTGATCCACTCCCCGATGCCCACATTGGGGAGGCAAGGGGCTGGGGGGTTCTCAGAGAAAGCCAGTCCTGGGAACCCGGCCCTTGTCTCTCACAAGGGTGGTAGGAACGCAACCACTTGTGCTACCACCACTGCCTCCCAGGTTCTGCATTAGCAGGAAGCTGGAGTCAAGAGCCAGAGGCCAGCAGCAAACCCACGTACTCTGATATGGGAGTTGGACATCCAACCTGGTGGCTTAAGAGCAAGGCCATATGCTTATTATAGGTAAGGAGATGTTCAGGAATCAGAGAAAGAGCAAGAAGAAACATGTCACCACACTCTTCCCCCGGGCTGCCCCAAAACTCCCATTGCCAGCTAGCCACCACCCAGAACCAGTGCTGGCCAAAAATATCCAACATGGCTGCTAACTACCACCCTGTAATGACCTAAAGCCTATTTTAATAAAATCACCATGGCCAACACTCCCACCCCCATCATGCACCTGACACCATAATGTTTCTGAGACTTCCTAAAAAGGCCATAAATTGGGTAGTCATCAAGTTTGTGGACATCCCTGCCCCTCCTGGAAGCCTGTGTCTAAAGCGCCAACTCCTGTGCCTCCAGACCACGTGAAGGGATGACCCTGTAGCTTGTAGGGTACAGCACACTCTAGGGTCTACACACATGCTGTCCTGGCTGTACACTTTCACTTTGCTATAAACCTTATTCCTCTGCTAACATTTATCTCCATCTCATCTTTGAATCCCTTTGTGTGTCGAAGGTAAGAACCTAGATTCGCCCATCCCACAACCCGCCCACCCCCATTTAATAGTTTTTAAACTATTTTTACTTTATTTTTTCTTTTTTATTTATTTATATAAAGGGGACAGTTTTAATGTACTTCATTATAGAGTTGTTTTTTTGTTTTGTTTTGTTTTGTTTTTGGACAGGCAGAGTGGACAGTGAGAGAGAGAGACAGAGAGAAAGGTCTTCCTTTTGCCGTTGGTTCACCCTCCAATGGCTGTTGTGGCTTGCGCACTGCGGCCGGCGCACCGCACTGATCCAATGGCAGGAGCCAGGTGCTTCTCCTGGTCTCCCATGGGGTGCAGGGCCCAAGGACTTGGGCCATCCTCCACTGCCTTCCCAGGCCACAGCAGAGAGCTGGCCTGGAAGAGGGGCAACCAGGACAGAATCCGGCGCCCCGACCGGGACTAGAACCCGGTGTGCCGGCGCCACAAGGCGGAACCAGCAGATGGAATCGCTCTCTCTCTCTTTTATTTTCTTGCTCTCTCCATCCCTCCCTCCCTCTGTTACTCTGCCTCTCAAATAAAGAAAGAAATATTAAAAAAAAAAAAAGTCAACATTTTTGGAGACAAGTGAGGAGAAGAAGCAACAGGAACTCAGAGTACAATGAGGTTGTCATTCAATCTTATTTGTCAGGACTCAGATATCCAGTTCCCAAGTAGGGTTTCCCTGAATGTCTGCCATTTTTACCTAAGACACTAGAAAGATAGACCTAGATGGAGAGCTGAACTGAACCACACATGCAACTCAGATTTTTCAGCTGAACTCCAGTTATTACAACTGAATTGTATTTTATTTTATCCTTGGGGCCATTAGCTATTAGAGGATGGCATCTATTGTGTGAATCAGAATCTCTTGGGTTCTGGAAATACCACATTAACAATGATTTTTTTTTACTTTGAGAATAATCTCTAGACTAATTAGAAAACATGCCTTTTGATCAATACTTTTGCTTCCCTCTCTATCCTCAGAGACCTGTGACGTTGACCTGCTGAAGAACTCAGGATTCTGGAGTTTCCCTCAGTGAGACTGTTCACCAGTACGAGTGCCTCTTCTGTTCCTTTGACAAAGTCACTCCTGGTTGTTTCAGTATGTGCAGCTCTAGATGAAATCTTATCATTGTACTTTTGGTATTATTCATGTAGATAGCGTGCTAATTACGTGTGATTCCAAATGTAATCAACCCCAATATCAGGTTTGTAAACTGCTGAGATGCATGTGGGAGCCTGCATGTGGCCTAACAGTTAAGATGCCAGTTGGGACACTCACGTGCCATAGCCAGTGTCCGGGTTCCAGTTGGGCTGCACTCCAGCTTCCTAATGGAGTGGACCCTGAGAGGCGGCAGGTGGTGGCTCCAGAGATGGGAGACCTTGACTGAGCTCGTGGCTTCAGCCTTTTGTAGGGGTGGGGGAACATTTTATCTGCCAAGGGCCACTTGGGTATTGATGACAACATTTGTGGGCCATACTTAAAAACTAGCCTGCTATAGATTTATTGAATTTCAAGTCCCACCTGTGACCACCTTGGCAGGGCCACACCAAATGATTTCACGGGTCTTATATGGTCCACAGGCCAGATGTTCCCCACCGCTGGTTTAGGGTATTTGGGAAACAGTAGATAAGAGCTATCTGTATCTCTCTCTCCCTCAAATAAATAAATAAATCATTTTTAAATAAAGAAAATGGATTTGAATAGAAAATTCTATCAAGAGCTTTCTATTCACATTTTCCATTTAAAAAAAAAAAGGAGGAAGGAAGGAAGGAAGGAAGGAAGGAAGGAAGGAAGGAAGGAAGGAAGGAAGGACATTCTTGGTGGAATTCCTGACCTCTCCTTGTAAGCATCCAGTCCTGTAGCTTTGTTACCAGTTAGAATTAGGCCATGGAGGCTTGGCCTTGGACAGCCAGCACACCAGAGACAAGAGCTGATGCCAGGAGACAGATTTACTCAAGAGGCCAGCTTAGTGAGGGCAGAGCAGACATGCTTAGTCTTGGAAGTGCTTTTCCCCTTTTGCAAGTTGGCAGGAAGATCTTTAAAGGAGAGAGGGGAACCAGGGCAGCTTGTCAGGTTTCCAGGGTTGGTTCTGGTAGGCAGCCTGACTCCACTTAGGTGGAGGCTGCTTTGATATGAAGCTTGGCTGTTTGGGGCTGGTGGCTTAAATTCTTTCCTTCTCTGAGGTTAACCCCTGACATTCTTAGGTCAACATCTGTTGAACAGTTAGCTTTTGTTCATTGCAATGTGAAGAGGAAAGGAGGATGTATTTAGTACAGTCGTAGCTGCAGCGTTTGCTTCTGTGGAAGGTATCCCAACCACTGCACCAGGAAAGCGGCCGATGTCTGAGGGGAGCTGGCTCTGGGACTCAAAGTCTGGCCCCTATCAATGGTTTCAAATCGGAATACTGAGGACAAGGTTTAGCGTTTATTCTATTGCTAGAATGAGGAGTAGCAGACAGATGTCTCAAGAACTGCCATCCTCCCAGATGAGGAGGGTTCAGAGGTTTTAAGAAGTTCAGAAGGGGAAGCTAATAACACGTCAGCTATTAGAGATAGGGGCTCAGGAGTTAACAGCCAAACAATCAAACTGGTTACAAGACTAATAGCAGGATTATTTTTATAAATCCCGAATATCAGAACAATCTCTAGATAAATATGCTGAAGGAGAACTGATGGCTTGATCTTAACATGGGTGAAACGGAACAGCATGTTCTACGTGAGTGAATGCTGCAAAACAGTGTTTGGCTGGCATCTGAACGAGGCAAAGCACTAAGAGGTTCTAGTGTTTCATTAGCCATAAGGCCTGCCTCCCAGAAAGCCCATGGCCAGTGAGGTTTACCATGCCCTTAGTCACCAACACCCCTCTATACCCTGTTTAGTTCCCTGCACTCTGTTACACCCTGCCACAATTCCTTCCCACGGAAAATAAGACTGCCATCCTTGATTCACCTAATAAGCATACAGCTTTGCCAACAATATTGAGAAATTAATGGTGCAGGTAGATAAGACAGAAGATCTCAAAACCTATATATGAAACTCTTCCTACCCTAGAGGATAACTGAGTTTAGGCTTAATTCACACTGGAAAACAGGAAGGGAAAAGAACATTCTAGCTTTCACTTAGGATTGGATACTAAATCGATGCAGACAGGCAACATGCTTCTCCCTTTGAACTGTCTGGGATGGCACACTTGAGATTAGAGAGAGCATCTTTGAAAGACAAATCTCATTGTTAGAGAAAATTATGCCACAGAAATCATCAAAGGAGAATGTCAGCCATTTCTATGCCAAAGAGGCAACAACACACAGAGTAGGGATGGCTCTTGCTAAGAAACATTGGTGCCACACGTGGCAAAGAGTTCCCAGACCTGGTCGAGGCCAGATGCAGGTTTAACTGCAAGCTTCCGCCTTCACTCTTAAGAATGAGTTAGGGGGCTAGTGCTGTGGCGTAGTAGACTAAGCCTCTGCCTGCGGTACTGGAATCCCATATGGGTGCCAGTTCAAGTCCTAGCTGCTCCTCTTCCAATCCAGCTCTCTGCTGTGTCCTGGGAAAATAGTGGAAGCTGGCTCAGGTGCTTAGATGGCGGGCACCCAACCTGGATGGAGTTCTGGGCTACTGTCTTGGCTGGGCCCAGCCCCTGCCATTGAAGCCTACTACTACTTCTGCCTCTACTTCTGCCTTTCTGAACTCTGCCTTCCAAATAACTGGAAAGCCCATTCATGAGAGTGCACTAAATTCCAGAAGAAGTTTCTCATTTAGCACTTTTATAGAGAGACTGTCGCATCACTTAGGGAAAATACACTTAACAATAATCAAATACTTAACAATAATCAAATAAAGTGATCAGCAAAAAAAGAAAGAAAGAAAGAAAGAAAGAAAGAAAGAAAGAAAGAAAGAAAGAAAGAAAGAAAGAAAGAAAGAAAGGAAAACCATAGACGTGGGTGGGATGGCAGACATGATGTCGTAAGGTGTCCTTTAGGAAAGCAGAGGTTACCAGCAGGCATCTGGCCCAGCTGTGAAGACACTGGGTGGGACACAGGCATTGCATGTTACAGGGCCTGGGTCCAAGTCCAAGCTCCACTCTCCGTTCCAGCTTCCTGCTAACACAGACCTGGGAGACAGCAGATAATGACTCAAGGAATTGGTTCCTGCCATCCACATGGAAAACTCAGTTTAGGACTCCTCACTCTGACCTGGCCCAGACCTGGCTATTGTGAGTATTTGAGGAGTGAATCAGTGTGTGCGTGAGGGGGGGGGGGATCTCTGTCTCTCTCTCCTTTCTAATAAATTACACAAATAAACAAACAAAATCAAAGACCAGGAAAGAATAAAGCCCAGCTGGCAGAAGGATTGTTCCAGATTAAAACATGGTGCTAGGCATGCTGTCTGAATTTGTTTATAAGCCAAATGATAATGACTTTATTCTTGGTGTCCTTAAGTAGAGTTTGATGTTCTACATTTCCTTTTCATTATTCTTCTGCTTAGATCTTGTTCTGTAGAGATACAATTCTGTGTGACTCAGTTTTTGGCTTCCTGCCCCATTTATTTTTTTCCTTTTTGGTTGACCCAGGTCATGATGCTTCCATAAATATGAGTGGAGAGATGAAAGAACTCAGAAAGAGCTGTGTGAAAAGCAGGCCCAAGATGGTCACTTCCTTTAGCGCACATTTGTAGCATCTAAGGAACAAACAGATGGTTTTCAATAATGCTTATTTTCCCCATAATTTCTTTTAAAAAAAAAAATGTGTTGTGAAGCAGTGCGTTAGGCTACCAGCTGCAGTGCTGGCATCCTATACAAGTGCCTATTTGAGTTCTGGCTACTCCACTTTCAATCCAGCTCCCTGCTAATGTGCCTGGGAAAGCAAAACAATACAGCCCAAGTGCTTGGGCCCCTTTCACTCACATGGAAGACCTGGTAGAAGTTCCAGGATCCTGACTTTGGTCTGTCCCAGCCATGGTCATTGCAGCCATTTGGGGAATGAATCAGCAGATAGATGATTTTGTCTCTCTCTCTCTCTCTCTCTCTCTAACTCTGCCTTTCAAATATATCAGTTTTTTTTAAAGAATTATTTTATTTCTTTGAAAGACAGAGTTACAGAGAGGTAGAGCCAGAGAGAGAGAGAGAGAGAGGTCTTCCATTCGGCTGATTTACTCCCCAAATGACTGCAATGGCCTCTACTGTGCCAATCCAAAGCCAGGAGCTTCTTCCAGGTTTCCGATGCGGGTGCAGGGGCCCAAGACTTGGGCCATCCTCCACTGTTTTCCCAGACCATAGCAGAGAGCTGGATTGGAAGAGGAGCAGCTGGGACTTGAGCGGGCACCCATATGGGATGTCAACGTTGCAGGCTGCGGCTTTATTCTATTGTACCACCATGCCGGCCCCATAAATCAGTTTTTTAAAAACATTATTTGAGAGACAGAGATCCTCCATCTGGTGGGTCACTCCCCAAATACCTGCAATAGCCAGGACTGATGTGACAGGCTGAAGCCAGGAGCTCTGAGATTAACCCAGGTTTCCCACGTGGGTGGCAGGGACCCAAATGCTTGCACCAACACCACTACATCTCAGGGTCCACATTAGCAGGAAGCTGGAATTGGAAGCAGAGCGGAGATGTGAACTCAGGTAGTCCAGTATGGCTTTGGGCATCCCAAGAGTCATCCTAAGTGCTGTCCATCCCCATAATTTTTTTCTTATTTCATTTATCTATTTGGGAGGCAAAGCAAAAAGGAGATGGAGAGACATAACAGACAGGCAGACAAACCAAGAAAGCTCCCATTCGCTGGTTCACCACCCAAAGGCCTACAACAGCGGAACCTGGAGCAGGCCAAAGCCAGGAGCTGGTAACTGGCTTGCAGCTGGAACCCAATCACTTTGAGTCATCACCACTTCCTCCTGTGGTCTGCATTAGCAGGAAGTGGGAGTCAGGGACCCGAGCTGGGAAATGAACCAGGCTCTTCAGTGTGCAATGCGTTAAGCTAAACACCCACTCCTCCGTTATTTCTATTGTGTCAGTACTCAGAGCAGCTGGCTTTAAAATTATTCTGAAAAACATTGGAGTCTGTGAACAAGGAAGCCAAGCAGGCCAGGCAGAACCTTCCAATCTTTATTGATTTATACAAAAGTACTTTTTAAAAGTTCCCAAGAAAATGGAATTAAAAGATAAACTTATTTTGGTACAAAAAAATTGAAATCTTATGTATGAGTATATTGCAAATTTGCACAACCACAGTTTTGAAAATGAGCCCCCCCCCTTAAAAAAAATTAAGCAGGAGCAGGGCCAGTGCTGTGTCACAGTGGGTAAAACCATGACCTGCAACACCGCCATCCCATATGGGCACCATTTCGATTCCTGGCTACTCCACTTCTGATCCTACTCCCTGCTGATGCTCCTGAAAAAGCAGTGGAAGATGGCCCGAGTCCTTGGGCCCCTGCACCCACATGGGAGACCTGGAAGAAGCTCCTGGCTCCTGGCTTCAGCCTGGCCCAGCCCTAGTTGTTGCAGCCATTTGGGGAGTGAACTAGTGGATGGAAGACCTCTCTCTCTCTCTCTCTCTCTCTCTCTCTCTCTCTTAACTCTGCCTTTCAAATAAATAGAAAATAAATCTGTAAAAAAAAAAAAATAGGCAGGGGCAATAGAGGCAGGGCAACAGAGACTTGTTCTTAACCAGTGACCTAATTATGCTTTGGATAAGAAGTATCTAAAAGACAGAAATGGGAGGGGGTGGAGGATGATGGGCACACACCTAAAGCAGAGCCATTTCCCAGCATGGGCTGTGGGCTTCCTGGGAGAAGGGGAAAGGGGTGGGGAGCCTGGGTCTACTGGTATCCTCTGAGGTATTCTACATTTGTTCTCAAGGTTAGGGTTCGAGAGAGTGGCCTTTATTTTTATTTTTTATTTTTTTGATAGGCAGAGTTAGACAGTGAGAGAGAGAGAAACAGAGAGAAAGGTCTTCCTTCCATTGGTTCACCCCCTAAATGGCTGCTATGGCCAGCGCACTGCGCCGATCCGAAGGCAGGAGCCAGGTGCTTCTCCTGGTCTCCCATGCAGGTGCAGGGCCAAAGCACTTGGGCCATCCTCCACTGCACTCCCGGGGCATAGCAGAGAGCTGGCCTGGAAGAGGGGCAACCGGGACAGAATCCAGCACCCCAACCGGGACTAGAACCCAGGGTGCCAGCGCTGCAGGCGGAGGATTAGCCTAGTGAGCTTCAACGTCAGCCAGAGTGGGCTTTCTAAGGCTGAGCCCTTGAAGGGATTCTAAAAATTAACCTCAGCCACTGCCCTGAAGGCTGGAACCCGAGGACTAGGAGGAAAGCACATAGAGAGGGAGTCACTGCTTCCAGTGTCTGATGGTTCGGTGTCATCCCAGGGAGCCAGAGGCCCTCCGAGGGCCCTGGTCCAATCTGCTCGTTGGCAGATTCAGTGTACGGTTAGACCGAGGCTGGGTTCACTGTCACTATATGGGCGACCTTCAGCTGGGCCCAGCCCAAGTTGAGTCCTTTCAAAATGGATATTCTCCTCTAAAGAATTACGCTGAGAACCTATAAACTCAGAGGCTCACAGGATGTGACAGGTGGATTTTTCCCATTCTGTTTTCCCTACAGACGAATTCCCTGGCACCGTCTGTCCAAAGCAATCAACACTGAAGGTAATTGGGGGAGGGGTGGCTGAAGAGCATCTCTGCACAAGCGACATGTTGCTGTTTTTAACAGGAATTTGCATGGCCTGTTCTGCATTCGCTTGACTGGAGCACGTGGGTGAACTCTGATAAGACACTTTCCTGTTGAGGAAGGGTTAAGGGTAGTCCGTCTTTAGCCTCCTTGTTTATCTTGACTTCTCTTGCTCAGATGTTCAAAGGCTGACGTAGCCGCGGATGAAGTCTGTAATAACAGTGCAGGTTGTTTTACTTTATTCACTATCACTTGTTACTGAGCAGTAACTTCTGAAGGACCAACTGTGCAATAAGCACTAAGCGAAGTCCTAGGGATATCAGGGTAAATGGTAATTTTAAGTTCTGTTTGTGACCATCTCGCCTCGTTGGGCTCATGAAAGGGGAAAGTATTTCATGCTGTAAATTGCTGTGGCCAGGCTGATGTTTAGCACTCAGAAGAGAAATGTGTTCAGACGTCCCCTGGACTGGGCTGGTCGGCACAAGGCATTCCGAGAACTGTGCTGAGGCCCAGGATGAGTATTGCACTCGTATATAAAAAGGAAAGGGGCGGTGAGGACAGGCCATTCCGTCCCCGTCCGCAGTGACAGCCCTGGAGGCCCAGCGAGAGTCCCTGAAGGAGGAAGAGGACGCATTCTCTGGGGGGCCGGGGCCCCAGGAGGGGCTGCTGTGCTGACCCCCTGCTTACTCAGGCCCAACCTGGCCCTTCGGGACCTCCCATCAGAACCAGAGAGCGCTGAGAGCGGAGACGCGCGGCCAGCTGGGACCTGAGTTCAAGCCCCTGGCTTTGCCGTCCCCTTCTCGGGTCACATCATTCCTGGGGAGAAAGGTCTAGCATTGGAGAACCTTCTACTGGGGGCCAGGCCTATGAAATCAGAGTTGGCCAATGTCTGCGTTTGCAGCTTTTATGTCTTCCCTTTCTTCACATACTTAATAAATAGGCCTTTAAAAATAAAAAGGCTGATATTAAAAGGTGCTTCATTTGATTCAGCCACCTGGGTATAGGAGAGGACTGAAACTGAATGTTCACAGATTATTCACGTGAGCCCGCAGAAGTCACCTCCAAGGCACTGCTACTCCGAGGAATGCCATAACAGAGCTGGGTGGCGTGCGCTAGGTGAGGGCTCACTGTGTCACAGTTATTTAAAGAGAGAGTGAGGTGTGATTTGAGTTGTCGCTACAACAGGTAATTTAGAAAATGTTGATGAGTGTAAACCTTCTTTCCTCATCTCTAATTACCTACAGCACAAAGGATTTGTTCCACTCCCAGCCAGACACAAAGAACACTCTCTTCCTGGTGGAAGAGAGGGTGTTTAAAAAGAAGACTTGGGACTGTGGCGCTCTCAGGTCCTGGGGATGAGCCTCGGATCTCCCTCCCCTGGAGAGTGGCAGAGAGGAAGGTAGTGGCAGATGCACAGAGGTGTCTGATGGGGCAGAACTCCAACTTTTATAAAGACGGAAGCTGCCATTTGAATGCCCTGCCTGCTTATGGGGGCAAACATTTAGCACAGCCTTGAAGATGCTGGTTCAGGCGCTCTTGTCCCACATGAGAGTGCCTTGGTTCAAGTCCTGGCCCTGGCTCCTGATTCCAGATTCCTGCTAGTCGCAGACCCTGGGAAACAGCGGTGATGGCTCAAGTAGTTGGGTTCCTGCCACCTAAGTGGCTCTGACCCCTCCCCAGGCCCCACTGCTGCAGGCATTTGGTGACTGAGCCAGTTGATGAGAGGTGCGTGTGTGTCGCAAATGAATAATAAAAATAAAATAAATGTCCTTCTTCCTTACAGTGACTAAGGTAGAGATCCACCTAGGCTGTTTTAGTTCTTGGAAGATTTTAAGTTATATAAATAGTTTTCATTGTCTTGGGAGAAAAGTCTAGTAAGACTTTTCATCTTTGGCTTGACGAAATTGTCTTCCCAGGGAGTGGTCTGACCTACATAAGGTGCTTCGGGCCCATTGGAGAGTGGAGACCCACAGCCCGGTGCCCTTCTCCCTGGTATTTAAAGTGAAGGAAACCTAGAAAACAACCACCTAGCAGTACAGGGTTGTAAGATCCACGAAGTCAAATAACTATGATCACTGAAAGAAATGAGCCCAGTGAGGAGGCCGTGGCCCTGCGTCAGGTGGTCGAGTTCAGGCAGGAGTGGTCTGTCCAGGAACTGGCAGAATCTGTGTGAGGCAGACACACACCCAGGAGTGGTTGCCTGGGCGAGTTCTGACTGTGGCCCCTTCAGTCAGCAACAGTGGGGAAGAACGGAATTCTCCCACAGCAGCTGTGACCCACGATTCCTGCTCTGAGAGCAGAGAGGGCTTTTCCGAAGTAACCAACTCCCAGGAGGTATGGAAATGCTCTCCAGCATGTGGGGAGCAACTCGGACTAGACTAAGTTACTGGAATTAAGACTTATTCTATGCATCTGCTCTCCCGCAATATGGCGCTGAGAGGAGTAAACAGCTTCTACACAGCTGCCTCCAGTTCAACCAATAAACTGTAGGACCTGCTCCTGATTGGAGGAGAGCAGCGTACTCGGCGTGTGGGTAGCAGAGTTGGGATTGGTGGAAGAGGACTATAAAGGAGGAGAGAGACAACATGCACCAGGAACATCTATCTGAAGGAACACCTGAGCAGCCCCCTAGAGAGCCGGCTGGCGGTGTGCTGCTCCCCCGCGGAAGTGGGGAAAGTGGCAGGGGGAACCGCCCTTCCACGGAGGTGGAAGGGTCGGTAGCCAACCCGGGAAGAACCAGCAGCAAACCCGGGGAGGGCCGAGCAGACAAAAGAACAGCGCAGGGTCCTGTGTCGTTCCTCCACGAAGAGGGGGAGCGACACCAGCACCAACGTCTAAAATGTCCTTTTAGCATGGTGGGGTGGGAGTGGATGAGTCTGGAGCCTGGGGGTCCTGGCCTCACTGGGGCACCAAGGGGCTCAGAGAGGGTCACAGGTTAGACTTGCTTCTACCTGTCATATGCAGGGTGGGGTAGGGACCACGACTATTGTTTCGTCAAGCTGGATGAAAATGTACGTTTTCTGCGACTCCAGAGACATAGAGCGGGAGATGTACAGTGTGCATTGTCTCTTATGTAATGCACACCTGGAAATGCAGGATGCAAGGAGAGGGCGGGAGCAGATGCAGGCTCAAGCTCAGCCCTTCTTTGCAGAAACATAAAACCTGAGGCACCACGAGCAGAGAGAGCCGTCATTCACAGCCCTAGATGCCTGTCTGGGAGCAGAAAGGTGACCTTCATGGGCTGATGCCACCGTGCGAGTGGCAGCCGAGCTACTCCCCTTGTGACACCTTCTTTTGCATGGGCTTCTGCTATAATGCTAGACATCCACGTATCTCCCCAGGGACTCATTTGTGACCAGGGACAGCACTGGTAGGATGACTCACCTAGATCCCAGGAGGCTGACTGCACCTGCTTGGTAATGTCCAGTCGCCAATGGCAGAGAACTTGAGGACCCTCACACTAACTAAGGCCCCACTTAGGATTCTTGGCCCTGGCCTATGAGAAACCAAGGTTGAGAATCCAAAACAGCAAGGAGGAAAACAATCTAAGATAGAAGATAGAAGAAAGGAACTAGGATCAGGTTTTGATATCCAGAATAAAAGTTAGATGCCAGCTGCCAGATGAGGGTAAAGAGAGAAGCAAGCAGTTCAGAGGCAGGAATGAAATGGCCTGATTTACTAGTGCCAATTCAAGGAGTCAAGGCTGAGCCAGGGCCTGGTTAGGAGACCTGACTGCTCAGGCAGGAGGCCAGACCACAGGACTGGCTGACCTGCAGGTGGGAAATTGGAGCCAGCATTTCTGTTGACCTCAGCAGTTCAGTATTCTGTCCATTACTAACCTGAGAATCAAGGACGGCTCAACCCAAGGTTTGAAAGATGTCATAGTCCATTTTGTGTTGTTGTACCAAAATATCTGATGCTGCTAATGTATAAAAAAAAAAAAAGAGGTATTGACTGAATTGATCCGAACGTGGCTGGAGAGTGAAAGTTCATGTTCATTGAGCTAGCCAAACTGAGGATTTAAACCTGGAAAACAGCAGTCAGTTCCCTGAGTTTGATTATGGAGTTTATGTTTTTCTTACACAGTGGGTAAATGCATTGAATCAGATTTAAACAGTTCAGATTCATGTGGTTATCAATTACATTGAAAATCAAAGACTACCTGCTAGTGGTTAGCAGACTTGATTATTGATTAAAGGAGGCACACTGTCTTCCCACAATCAGTGCTGTCTACATCCACGGAGAGGCAGAGCAGGAGGTCATCAGTCACTCCTCCTATCTGGTCCTGCGATGTGAAGTTTACGCCCTCTTAACATATGGTGAACATTTCCTTGGTCTTGTCACCTGGGAAGCAGGTGCAGGGCTTCTTCACAGCACGGACAGCAGCCCAGTTGACGTGGGTCTCTGCACTCACCAAACCATTCCAGTCTACCTGACAAGGGTCTCCGGCTGTACCACAGCTTGATGGAGAAGCAGACCTATGCAGAAAGATCATATGGAAAGACGGAATGCAAGAGAGCAGAGGGATAAGGAATGCTCTTTTTTATCTTTTATTTGATAGACAAAGAGACTGGGGTAGAGGAGAGCATGGCTTCTACCTGCTCTTCATTCCTCAAGTGCCTGCAATGGCTAGGGCTGGGTCAGGGCTAAAGCAGAGACCAGGAACTCAATCCAGGTCTCCTGTGTGGGTGCTAGGAACCCAATTACTTCAACCATGACTGCCGCCTCCTGGGGTCTTTAAAAAAAAAGATTTATTTATTTATTTGAAAGTCAGAGTTATACAGAGAGAATGAGAGGAAGAGAGAAAGGTCTTCCACCCACTGGTTCACTCCCCAATTAGCCACAATGGTCAGAGCTGCGCCAATCTGAAGCCAGGAGCCAGGAGCTTCTTCCAGGTCTCCCACATGAGTGCAGGGGCCCAAGGACTTGGGCCATTTTCTACTGCTTTCCCAGGCCACAGCAGAGAGCTGGATCAGAAGTGCAGCAGCCGGGACTCAAACCAGTGCACATATGGGATGCCAGCACTGCAGGTGGCAGCTTTACCCGCTGCACCACAGCACTGGCCCCCTGAGGTCTTCATTGGAAGGAAACTGGGGTCAGAACTCAGAACCAAGAATCAAACTCAGGCACTCCAATATGGGATATGAAATAATGGATATACAGAAAAATTGATCCAAGATTGACTGCTAAATCTGGTGGGGGGAGTTATCTTGACATGTGCACCCCCAATAACTATTCTGCTATGCCCCCAAAATGCCCAAACTAAGGTAGGGTGAAGGTATGCACTCCAATCCTTTCCACAAAGTATATGCAAATAACAAATATACCAACCATCAACTAAATACAGAAAGATGTGTGACATCATCAAGAGGGGTAATCTTAAAGTAAAAATAAAAAAGCTGCCTCCTTCTGTTATATCATTAAGGGAGTCACAGACGACACATACACACAGAGGAAGGAGCAGATGGGGAATGACTCTCCAATGCCCACACGCCCCATGCTTCTGGCTTGCTGAGATTGCTATGAAAACTCTAAATGTCTCAGCAGCCCTTTTCAAACATCACTGTTTCCGTGGGCAGACGTGGGGGGGGGCATTTGGGGAGGCTGAGAGATGGCATGTTGACGTTGAAGATGGTGGAAGGTGGGAGTGTGGTGGCCTTTAAGCTCTGAATTTCTTAACATTTAGAGAGCAGTTCATTTTATCACATTATCTAAGTATTTTCCTTAAGAGTAGGCGTGGTTTTCAATACTTCCTCTAAGGAGTTGCATGTAGTTGAACATGGGGACTTTTGTGTCATTCCTTTTTGAAAATACAGTATTCTTGGGGTTTTCTCTTGAGAGATATAAGAAAATTCTAGAATTGTGCTTCACTTCTGAAAGGCCGAAGTGCTATTCTGATTGGGATGGTTACCTTCGACGTCGTCATCTGGCTCAGACCTTCCAGAGCTCTCCGATGGTCACGGTGCTGGATGGCTCCCTCTGCCTGCACTGCAGTCCTGGTCTCCTCACTGCCTTCTGGACAACTGCCCCCCCAAGTCTCAGACCTCAGATCCGAGGCTTTCTGGCTGCAGTGCCCTCCCTCACCTCTACTCCCCAAAGTCTCGAAACAAACCAGCCACAAGGGCCACCTCGTGTCCCATCCCTTCTTGAGCCCTTAGTCTGCCTGCTGTTGCTCTGAGGCTGGGTCATTTAAAAAGAGCCAAGGTTGCTTCTTACAGTTCTAGAGGCTGGGAAGTCTGAGATCATGGAGCCTGCTTGTTTTTTTTTTTGTTGTTGTTGTTTTGTTTTTTTGTTTTTTTATGTATGTTTATCTTCATCTGCTTGGAAGGCAGAACCAGAGTGGGTGAAGGTGAGGGAGTGAAGGGGAGAGAGATCTTCCATCTGCTGGTTCATTCCCCAGTGCCCGCAACAGCTGGGTCTGGGCCAGGCTGAAGCCAGGAGCCCAGAACTCCATCCAGGTCTCCCTGGCCCAAGCCCTCGAGCCTTCATCCACTGCCTCCCCAGGAAGCCAGGAAGCCAGATCAGAAGCAGAGCAGTTGGAACTTGAACCAGCACTCTGATATGGGATGCAGGCATCCCAAGCAGTGGCTTAGCCCGTTGTGCCACAATGCCCACCCCAGGGCCTATATTTGGTGAGGATCTTCTTGCTGCATCATCCTATGGCAGAAGACAGAAAGAGAAGAGAGCATGGGGGTGGGGGCAGGATGCACACTCGCACTTTAACTGGAAATCCACTCTTGCAATGAGGGCACAAGGTAGAACCTTGATGACCTCATCACCTTTGAAAGGGTCTGCCTCTCAACACTGTGGTGTTGGGAGTTAAGTTGCCATCCCATGGAATTTAGAGATGCGTTCAAACCATCTCACTCCCCTTCCATACTTATTGCTGGGCTATTTCCCTGCTAAGCTGCTTTAAAAATATACAAGAATATACTTCAAAAAGTGAAAAAAAAAAATACATGGATTTCAAACATTTTTTTTATCTTTTTTTTTTTTAATTTTTTTGACAGGCAGAGTGGACAGTGAGAGAGAGACAGAGAGAAAGGTCTTCCTTTGCCGTTGGTTCACCCTCCAATGGCCGCCGCGGCCGGTGCGCTACGGCCGGCGCACTGTGACCGGCGCACTGCGCTGATCCGATGGCAGGAGCCAGGAGCCAGGTGCTTTTCCTGGTCTCCCATGGGGTGCAGGGCCCAAGCACTTGGGCCATCCTCCACTGCACTCCCTGGCCACAGCAGAGAGCTGGCCTGGAAGAGGGGCAACCGGGACAGAATCCGGCGCCCCGACCGGGACTAGAACCCGGTGTGCCGGCGCTGCTAGGCGGAGGATTAGCCTAGTGAGCCACGGCGCCGGCCAAGGATTTCAAACATTTTTTGCACCAAAACAAATATCTTTTAATTCCATCTTTCTACAAACTTTTTAAAATACCCTCTTATTTCTAACTGTGTGTCCTGCCACCATAACAAGATTACAGGCCTAGAAAGCAAGCCATGTCTCATTGTTCCCTTCCTTGTCCCTCAGTATACAGCTGCAATGTCCAGCATTTTGTTTGGTGATTAGAAGGCTTTGGTTAAAATCCTCGCCCTGTTATTTCTTCCTTTTTTAATGTTCATCTATTTATTTTTATTTTATTTGAAAGATACCGATCTTCCATCTGCTTGTTCATTCCCCAAAAGCCTGCAACAGCCAGGGCTGGGTCAAGTCAAAGTTCCATCCACGTCGACCATGTGGGGGGCAGGAGTTCAAGGAGTCCAAGCCTCTGAACGGTCATCGGCTGCCTTCCAGGATACATTAGCAGGAAGCTGGAGCAGAAGCCTAGGTAGGTGCTGGAATTTGACTCGGCCTCCAATACAGGATGCAGGCATCCTGTGCAGTGGCTTCATCACGAGCCTTACACCCGCCCCCAGCGCTGTCATTTCACCCATGCCCTCTCTGGACTCACAGCTATTGGACATTATGGTTTGTCAAGGTCAGGACTGTGCATGGATGGGGAAATGAGAAACTGATTCAGGTGTGGCTGCCACTCTCAAGGTGCTGTGGACTTAATGGTGCTCCTCCCTCCTCCCAAACTCATATCCTGAAGTCCTAGCCTCTAATGGAGCTGCATTTGGAGGCAACGCCTCTAAGGAGGTTGTTAGGTACAAGTGGGGTTATGTTGGTGGGCCCTGGTCTGATAGGATTAATGTCCTTACAAGAAGAGACACAAGGAAAAAGGGGAAAAAAGAAAAGGGAACAGAGCTCCTTCTCCTTCCTTCTCTCCCTCCCTCCCTCTCCACCCACCCCCCTCGCCCCGAGTCCCCCTAGTGCTCACGCACACAGGGAAGACCATAGCAAGAAGGTGGCTGTCCACAGGCCAGGAAGGGAGCCCTCACCTGCAACTGACCCCGATAGCAGCTCCCAGAACTGTGAACAGTAAATGTGGTTTAAGCCACCTTCTGTGGTATTTGTTGTGGCAGCCAGAGCTGACCAAGCCATACGACAGAGGCAGGCGAGCTGTGTTGGGCAGGGGTTTGGCCTGTAGGATGCATCTCAGCCGGCCAGGAAATGATCCGGCCCCATCCGCGAGGAAGAGCCTTAGGCTGCTCCGAGTTCCCCACGTCCCTGGCCTCAGTATCAATCAGCTCTCGGGGCTTTTTCCAGAAGGCCTTAGGAAGCCCCTAAATCAAGGCCTGCCTTCCGAAGCTCTTCCACGCTTCAGGAGCCAACCGCAGGCCTAACCTAGCAACACCCGTAGCAAGTCAGTCCTCCCCAGAAATTCAAAACAGAGAACAGAGGATCACGAAACAGCAGAGTTCAGCGAAGGGAGGCGCTGAGGCCTCAAATCTGCACTGTCCAGCAGATCTCCAAGTTACAGGGAGTGAACGAGGACAGTGGCCCGCATCGTGGTCCCTGACCTCCGCGTGTCCGGTCCTGCCTTAGGTGTCGGGAGGTTGGGGATGGATGTTCACTGGAGTGTCTGCTCCATCTGAATAGGACTCAGCTTTTCTCTAAGCCTCTTTCTCATGTGCTTGCTTTGATTTTCAATTTCTCCTTCTTGTGCTGAGTGAACCACAAAGGCCCTGTATTGCCAGGTTCAATCCCCAACAGAGAGAATCTGACTTGGCCTTTACCTCCTCTTTGGGCCTGCTTTCCCCTGGGGCCACTTGGAGATCCTGGCAGCTTGTAGGCAGGCAGCCCCAGGGCCTGTGGGCAGGACCCTTTCCCTCAATGGAGGTAGTGAGAATCCCAGGGAACCTACCTTAGCTGCACTGTCTCAGCCACAAGGCACAGAACGTCCACCTAGGGACCCCACTAGGAAGTTCTTTTCCCCACATTGCAAGACGCGTGCAGGTGCGTGGTCAGAGAGCTCCAGAGCTCTGTCTCCTCATTTAAGACTTTCCCTTCTGCCAACTGGCTGGACCGTGGTCACGTTACCGGAGAATGGCAGGGTTCTTGTCTTCGCGCAAGAAAGAATTCAGGCGTGAGACAGAGAGCAGTGGGAGGTAAAATAGCAAGGTTTATTAGGAAGGGACATCCTTAAGAACGGATGGGCACCTCTCCAGACAGAACCTGAGAGAGAGTGCCCAGTCGCTTGGACTGGGGGCTGGGGGAGGAGCGAGGTTACATGGTTGAGTAGAGAGATCATACCTGGCCAGACCAGGCAGGCGGCTCAGCAGAGAGGCAGAGGGCTGAGCGCGCAGTCCAGTTGAGGCAGGGGGTTTTTAAGGAGATGGGTCTTGCTTCCCCACCTCTGCTCCTCTTGGAACAAAGGGCTTTTTGGATGTAAATAGAAAAACTTCTATCTGAGTTTTCCCCTGAAGATATCAGACAGGAGGAAGGCTAGCTGGCGCCATCCTGAGTTCAGAGGAAGGGTGAGCAGGACCCCCTAGAGAATGGGGATCCAGAGCAGGGTGTTTGAAATGCAGATACTGGGCTGCATCTGGAAGGTTATCAGGCAGAAGGGGCGGACGGGGACCCCCACCTGGCAGGTTATCGGGTAGGAGGGGGCAGGGCAGGATGCTGATACTGGGCTGCCCCTGAAACATTATCAGGATGACTTTGAGATGCAGATGCATATGCTGGACATAGATGTCTTCTCTTTAGGCCTTTGTCACACACACATGAGCTCATATCTGACTTCCTACCTAACTGTCACAGCAGTTGGACGGCCACGTCACATTTTGCAATTTTCCTCACAACCCCCAGATGCTGTATTTTTGTCTCATCAACCAAAGGAAGGCACAGCTTCGTCTCCAGGTGTGAGAGGGGCTGGGAGAGTGAGCAGCTGGCATTAGCAACAGGGTAAAGTGTTCCTTACCTAATGACGAAGTAGAGGTGGAATGTTGTGTAGGCAAGTGTTGGCTCTAATAAATCAACAGGCAGCCACGACGCAGTACTGGGAGTGCTACGATAATTTGCTAAGATACTATTTTGGAGGAGTTACATAACTTCTCTGAGGCTTGGAGTCCTGAAATGCAGAATGAGACTGATAATACCTACATCACAGAGCTGTTATACGGGCTACTATGAAATCCTCTACGAGAAAGGCTGCCTCCGTGCTTGATACATACTCAGTGTGCACTTGCTTCTTCCTCCCCCTGCTCCCATCGCCGACAGAGTAAATGAGCGATAAATACTTGATAACCATAAACATTGCTCATCTGGAACACTAGCCTCTTGAATTTTGTTGGATATTTGTCAAAAGGAAAAAAAAATCAATTGAACATGCAAAGAAAAAGTAAACATGAAGAATTCCAAGGCTGGCACGCTAGGAATTAATTTCAAATGCAATCATGCTTCATTGTATTTAGAAGAAAGCACAGTAACAGCATGCAAGTGTCTGATTGCGCATTGTTACCTCCCTCAGGCATTCCTTCCTGCAAGTGGAGCAACTCAGATGTTGTTTGTGTTGTTATGTGTTTGCTACACTGCAGTGTCCTGAGGGATGGTTGGGGTCATTTCTCACCTGAAATAAAACCCAAAACTGGTGGTGTACACCCCTTCTTACAAATGGTTCCACACACTGTAGTTAAAATCCATTTCTCTCACCTGCCTCTTTGACAGCAACATCAGCAGGTGCTTCTGCAGTGGATTCAACATGTTCACAGATGATTTTGAGACTCTTCATCAAATTATCCCTGATTTTGCCACCTCCTAGTTCCATTTATGGATCTTTTCCCTGCCAATTATGCAAAAGATCTTTGGTTTCCTTCTTTCTCCTGAAGCTTCTCACTGGAGGCACCTGCTCTGTAACCCCCAAGATCCAAGAATTCTTCCTCTAATTCAAAATCTACCTCCTCCAGGAAACTCACACCAGCAATGGTGTGAATTCGTGTCGGTCCCACATAACAAGACCATCTGAACGTTTGGTCTTCACCAAGGCTGAGAATCCAGGAGACAGTGATGAACCCTTTTCCCTGGCTTGGAAGCTCTTCCATGCTTGGTATGATGCCTGGGCTGGACTCACCCTATACCTCTATGATGTGCCTGGAAAGAACTCCTGCAGAACAGCCTCTCCAAACTAGTTGGAGGTGTTGTTTTAGAACCCCCAAACCGGAATTCACTCGTCCTATACACAGAAGTCAATCACTGATGTCAGGTGGTAGAAAAAAAGTGTATTTGTTTGCAATACACAGAGCAAAGAGTCAGGAAGTTATTGCTTAATTCCCGGCCTCTCTGAGGAGTTGGGGTTGAAGGTTCTTCTAGATTGAAATGGGGGCTGAGAGGTGCATGTTCAGTTCACATCCAAGTTCCTGGTCGGTCAGTGGTCCCCATGACCTGCTTTTGATTGCTTGGTGACGCCATGCTGTTTAGGGAATTTATGATGGGCAGGTGGGCTCCAGTTGGTCCAGGAGGTTACATGCAGGTGGTGGTTAGGTGGTTATTCTGGGTCCCAGACCCAGAATCCCCCGACACAAATCCCTCGTGACAATACAGGCCAACAGGGTTTTCTCTACTGGCAAATGAGTCTGGTGATTAGAACCTTGTAGGGCCAGCTGTTGTCACTCCCTTAGTTCAGTGAATTCCTTTTGATCAATGACAGGTAAGGACACGTTGGGCTAAGGGAGACAGATGAGAGGCTGGGTCCTGCTTTTACTTTATGAGGTCTTAAACCTAAAGTACTTGCTCTGGCATTGTTGCAGAATACCCCCAAAGCAGGTTGGAGAAACTGCTATAGAGCCCTGCAAGCTGGGCCCACTTACCCAACACTCAGCAAGCCAGCTACTGACACTGGGGTGGTAGGAAAAGGTTAATTTATTTACAGTGCACAGAGCAAGGAGTCAGGCAGCCATTGCTCAATGCCTGGACTTCACAAGGAATCAAAGGCAGAAAATCTTATAGTTTGAAGCGGTTGAGCAGTGCATGGTCAGCTTGTGTGTGGGCCTCTGGTTGGCCCACCGTGTATGTGGCCTTCCTTGGATTGGTCAGTGTAGGGGCCATATTTCCTTTCAAGTGGCAAAGGTGGTTCCTGGTCTGTCTGGGTCTAGGGGTAGGTTGGGAATTACATCAGTCAGATCCTGTGAGTTCCTAGAGTTCTCAGAATAGAGGCTAGCATTGAGATGTTAACCATAGGGGCATTTGGAGCCTTTCTGATTTAGGACCTTGGCTCTAGCTTTACCCTTGTGTTGCTCCCTTAATTTAGTGAGTTACCCTTTACAGAAGGACTGCAAGTTGAGGAAGCACAGTGAATTATGTGCGAAGAATCTGAGTTGTAAAGCCACATGGAATCCTTATCACAGAAATGCAAAGAGCTGGGTAAGTTTTTGGCCTAGTGGCTAAGACACCACTTGGGTTGCCTGCATCCCTTATTGAAATATCTGGATTGGAGTTCTAGCTCCACTCTTGATGTCAGCTTCCTGCTAATGCATACCCTGGGAAACAGTGGTGATAGCTCAAGTAATTGGGTCCCTGCTACCCACAAGGGAGACCTGAATTGAGTTCCCAGCTCTTGGCCATGGCCTGGCCCAGCCCTGGCTGTTGTAGGCATTTGTTATATAGAATGGACAAGTGGATGGGAAATCTCTGTCTCTCTCTGTCTGCATTTCAAATAAATAAATTTTTAAAGTAAAAATAGGGCAGGTAAGAAATAAAGGTCAAATTGGGTCGGAATTAGATGATTTGTTTATTAGGCTATGAAGTTTGAGTTTTATTCTGTAAACAATGATGAACCATTGAAGTATTTAAGAGAGTAAAACTATCAAGAGCAATAAAGCAAAG